GGGGGGCGGGGACTGCGGGGGACAAAGGGGAGGACGGGGAGGGGGGGAAGGGGCCATAAAGCCCGTCCAGGGGCTGCTCCCAGCCCGTCCCACCTGCCCCTCAGCACTGCCAGGGATGGGGCAGCCGCAGCTTCCCTGGGCACCCTGGGCCAGGGTCTCACCACCCTCATGGGGAAGAATTTCTTCTTAATATTGTTAGAAATGAAATGTGGTGTTGGTTTTTGCATTCTAGTGTTAGAAACATAATGTCGTGTTTGGTTTCTATCTATCTATCTATCTATCTATCTATCTATCTATCTATCTATCTATCTATCTATCTATCTATCTATCTATCTATCTATCTATCTATCTATCTATCTATCTATCTATCTATCTATCTATCTATCTATCTATCTATCTATCTATCTATCTATCTATCTATCTATCTATCTATCTATCTATCTATCTCTCTACCTACCTATCTATCTCTCTACCTACCTATCTATCTCTCTACCTACCTATCTATCTCTCTACCTACCTATCTATCTCTCTACCTACCTATCTATCTCTCTACCTACCTATCTATCTCTCTACCTACCTATCTATCTCTCTACCTACCTATCTATCTCTCTACCTACCTATCTATCTCTCTACCTACCTATCTATCTCTCTACCTACCTATCTATCTCTCTACCTACCTATCTATCTCTCTACCTACCTATCTATCTCTCTACCTACCTATCTATCTCTCTACCTACCTATCTATCTCTCTACCTACCTATCTATCTCTCTACCTATCTATCTATCTATCTATCTATCTCTATCCTAGTGTTAGAAATGTCTCGTTTGTTTGAGACCCGTGAGGTCTCTGACACCAGGAGGGTTTAAATCTATAGTTTGTTGGAGACCCGTGAGGTCTCTGACACCAGGAGGGTTTAAATCCATAGTTTGTTTGAGACCCGTGAGGTCTCTGCACGTCCCAAGGACACCAGGAGGGGTTTGCGGCCCCAGGAGCTGAGGGAGTGAATTGGGCTCCACCTGGGGATCCCAGCACGGAGCAGGATTGATGGCCCAAGGTCAGAGCCAACAAAGCCCCTTCTGTCCTGCTGCTCAGGGCAGGTGACACCAGTGGGTTTGTTAACTGGGGAGGCAGCCAAGGGGGCAAGAAAGGTCAGAATTTTACCTGAAGAGGTAAAAAGTGACCTGCTAGGATGGGATGTGTGAGCAGGGGCGGGAAACTGACAGGGTCATGGGGAGCGTGGGAGGGGCTGTGAGCCCTGGAGTGCCCAGGGAGTGGGGACACGGGAGGGGACTTTGGGAATAGGGAATAGAAACCTTATTCACCTGCCTATGGGTGTGCCTGCTTGTTTAGGTCACCCATTCCTGCAGGAATGTGAATAAACTGTGCTTTGTTGGAGGATCCGTGTGGGCCTGTTCATTGGTGCCACAAACGTTTGTCACAATATCTAGTCTGAAACTTCCCTCTTCCCGTTGAAAACCGTGGCCCCTGGTGCTACTGCTGCTGAAAGGTCTGTCCCCATCTTACAGGCCCCTCTGAGTTACTGGAAGGCCACACTAAGGCCTCCCCAGGACACCCCAACTCAGCCCGTCTGCAGAGCTGCTCCAACCCCCCCATCAGCTCCACATCCCCCCTGTGCTGGGGACCCCAGAGCTGGGCCCAGCAGGACGTGGCCTGGCCCTGACGCAGCCCCGGGGGGCACAGGGGGAGAGGGGCTGCGGGGACTCACCTCGCTCTGCTCCCGGGCAGGGCTGCCTGGCGAAGCTCATGGCAGCAGAAGGGTCATCAGAGAGGCCCAGATCCCCCTGTGACACCAGACGTGGCTGCGCTGGGCGTGCACAGGACAGGCTGCAGGTGCCCACGTGTCGCCCAGCACAGTCACTCGCACTGGAATTAGTTGAATATGTGAATAATGTGAATATGTGAATATTATGGTTCTTTTTTTTAAGATGTCTACTCAAAAAAGACCTGGGGCAGTGTTAAATCACCCAGCACGCAAACCTTTGAAGGAGCTGCCTGGTGGAGATGCGTGTTCCCAGGGGCAGGGAAACAAAGCTTGAGCTTTGTCTTACTTCTCAGACCACAGGTGTGTCTGGACTAATTTTTGGGAATGGGAAGTGAGAGTTCCTGGTAAAATCATTCAGTTT